CGCTTAGACTTGGGGTGTTTCTCAATGTTGAGTAATGCTGCTCCAGAGCCACTATTTCAAGCATACTACGTCATTGAGTGCCGCCGAAGGACTGTTCCAATGTCCAGCATACTTGTAAATCTACCGAGCCCGGTGTACTTCGTAGCGAGAAATTTCGAGGCTGCATATGTGTAGACTCCACGGTCTTAAAATCTCCACAATGCTTAGCGCACGGACCAATTTCCCCAAATCTGTGGCGGAAAATGTAAGGTGGGGCCTCTCATATGACGCACACCTGCACACTTGCTAGCCTGTTCCACTCTTCGTTTTCTGAATGGAAGTATTCTTGCCTCGCTTCTGAAGCAAGACGCTCGGAAGACATGTGCTACCAAGCAAGCGTACTCGACATTGAGAAACACCCTTGGTTTTTGGCACCCTCAGGAACAACTGATCAGCTGACCTGAGAGTGTGAGTGGGCGTGTAGCTGTGTAACAGCTCAGAGAGGTAGGGCGGGGCCAGGCCATTGAAGGCTTTAAAAGTAAATAAAATAGTTTTAAAATGAATCCTCGAATGAACGAACAGCCAGTGGAGTGAAGATAAAATGGGGGAAATGTGCTCGTGTTTGCGTGTGCCAGTTAGGAGCTGTGCTGCTTCATTTTGCACCATCCGCAGGCGAGCAAGGGAGGACGCACTTATCCCAAATAGTGCATTACAATAATCCAAACGGGAGGTGACAAAGGCATGGATTACTGTTTCAAAAAGGTCACTATTTATGAAAGGCTTTATTTTGGATAGCTGCCTGAGGTGGAAGAAGCTGTTTTTAACAACTGCCTTGGTCTGGCTGTCCAGCTTTGAGTTCAGGGTCCATCTTTATCCCAAGATGTGTGATGGTAGGCCTGGTGGAGTGGCCCAAGGATCCTAGGTCTATATGAGTGGTCCGAGGGGCACCAAAAACCATAACTTCGGTTTTGTCAACATTTAATTTACAAGTAAAAGTTGCATGAAATCCAGGACTTAATGTCTTCAAGGCAGTTTAACCAACCCTGTCTCCTAAAAATTACGTTCCCACAGAACTAAACTGCATTCTCAATTACGTTTAGCTAGAAACGTATTTTCTCCCACGTTACGTTCGTTATGAACGTATCTCAAATACGTTTATTTTCTACATATCTTTTAGAAAAATATTTTCTCCCACGTTACGTTTGTTATGAACGTATCTTAAATACGTTTATTTTCTACATATCTTTGCCATTTATTGTCTTGCTTATAATAATGATAATAGTCATTTATAAATATCATTTTAGAGCACAGATTTGAAATCAGTAGGCGAGGCTGTAATTTCGCCAGCTGTTACTCTCATGAGTGAGGCAGAAAATAATAGTTTTTAACATGCCAAAAAGCTCCTGTCGTTTATTGCACCTCAAACATTAAAACAAATCCAGAGTTACGTGTTTCTGTACTTCCTCTAAGAAGAAAGGACAGTAACAGAAGATCTCTGTGGCTTCAGGCTTGATCGCCGTTCAAATGACAGCGTTGGTTTCCCCAAAAGTGGGCGGGGCTGTAAAGTGACTTGATTTTACTCATCTATTATTCAAAACCATTCTATTTATTCTAACGTAAATTACATGCCAGTGTTTTATGTTTTTATTTTAAATCGTATAATGTCGGACTTTTTTTCCCATCTGTGAGGAAAATAAATGGGGCTTAGAGCCTCAAAATACTGAAATCTGTATTTTTGAAAATCTTTTTTTCCTTATTTACTCAACAATAACACACAATTATCCTTGTTTTTATTTATTCGTTTAATTCTATAATCTTGGGCGTTTTAGCCGTAAATAAAGTCACCGGAAACAGACGTAGGCCTATAAGGGACATTTTGAGGATACACACAAACCCACTGAACAGATTACCCAAGATCCTCAGCTTGAAGCTCGTTGATTGGATGTTTAGCCGCAATGCATGTTGGGATATGATGTTAATGCGATATGATATCCGAAAAAAATAAATAATAATAATAATAATACTTTATTCCGAGTGTTCTTGCTTTTCTCTTTGGAAGTCATCACATAATGGCATTGTAATATACAGTTCGGCTGCATTACATATTACACATCTGCTGTAGTTCTTTATTTATAGAGCCCTGATGAGAAGACTTCTGGACCAACAGGAGAACTGCCGCCAAAACTGAATATGTGACGTGGATCATAAATATATCAACAATTAAACAACAGCTTGCATTTATTTTCACAAAATACGTCTCCTTGCAGTATCAATACTAATTCGGCTGACTTTTATATTTGATCCAATTGGTAGATAGGTTACATTTACATCATAACGGACGCACAGCTGATAGAAAAGGACTTGTAGTTTTTAAAGATATTACTGATTTTCTTTGAATATAAGAATGTAAATACTGAGTTGAGAGAATAGTCAGGGAATTTGGGTGATGGGAGACACATCTATGGAATCACAATTTTAATAGCTTACCATTAAATGACGAATATGGCTTTCAGTCTGTGATGTTTTACAAATCAGATATTAATGTGTAAAGCATGAGAAATAGTATAGCAATATCCTGTAAAATTATGTAAAAACATGAATAAAACTAAATATCTTCAGATGTTATACATACATAAGTGTCCTACACTAATAATAAAAAGTTATTATTAGTATGCTGTGTGTACCTTGTGTGCACCGCCTAGTGGTTAAAGCACGTTATTGAATTATTTTTGTTGAATAATGTTATTTTTGTTGAATAATGTTATTTGATGAAAAACATATTAAGAGTACAAACTTTCATAGGGGGAAAGTAGAAGGTCAATGAAAGAAGTATAGAATATAAAAAAATCAAGAAGATACTGTAAGTGATCTCAACAATAAAACAGTTTAGTGCAGGATGTACAAAGATATTAATATGAGGATGTGCAAAACAGACAAACTAATTAACCTTTATTAACACATTAAAGAATACTTTAGGTTAAGGTCTTCTTTCAAATAAGAAAAAAGCTTCCATCTACAGATACATATTAAGCCTGAAAAAGTACTTAACGTTGAATGTATTGCTTTCCTGCAATGTTAACTATGTTGAAGCACTTATTTTAACTGATATTATACACATTAATTATACTCTTATGTATGTAGATAGTATAAGAAATGTGCAGAATTTGACAGTTTAATTGTGGAGGTACACACATATTGATAGATGTCTTGTAATGAATGCACTGTTGAGGAACCTGTGACCCAAGTTTATAACTTTGTATTATTAGTGTAGGACACTTATGTATAACATCTGAAGATGTGTAGTTTACTAGTTTTATTCATGTTTTTACATAATTGTACAGGATATTGCTATACTATCTCTCATGTTTTACTTCTACACATTAATATCTGATTTGTAAAACATCACAGACAGAAAGGTATATCCGTAATTTAATGGTAATCTATTGAAATTGTGATTCCATAGATGTGTCTCTCATCACCCAAATCCCCTGACTATTCTCTCAACTCAGTTTTTACATTCTTATGTTCAAAGAAAATCAGTAATATCTTTCAAAACGTGCATTGCGGCTAAAACATCCAATCAGCGAGCTGACGATCTTTCCTACGTCTGTTTCCGGTATTGTTCCTGTAATGAGAGTTCACATTTCTGCTACATTGAAAGGTGGAATCGACTACACATCTTCAGAAACATAATTTGCTTCAGATATAACTCATAGAAAATAAAGTATAAAAAGATAAGTAATAAAAAGATAAAACACTGGCATGTAATTTACGTTAGAATAAATAGAATGGTTTTGAATAATAGATGAGTAAAATCTACGTCACTTTACAGCCCCGCCCACTTTTGGGGAAACCAACGCTGTCATTTGAACGGCGATCAAGCCTGAAGCCACAGAGATCTTCTGTTACTGTCCTTTCTTCTTAGAGGAAGTACAGAAACACGTAACTCTGGATGTGTTTTAATGTTTGAGGTGCAATAAATGACACAGCAGCTTTTTGGCCTGATACAACTATTATTTTCTGCCTCACTCATGAGAGTAACAGCTGGAGAAATTACAGCCTCACCTACGGATTTCAAATGTGTGCTCTAAAATGATATTTATAAAATGACTATTATCATTATTATAAGCAAGACAATAAATGGCAAAGATATGTAGAAAATAAACGTATTTAAGATACGTTCATAACGAACGTAACGTGGGAGAAAATACGTTTCTCGCTAAACGTAATTGAGAATGCAGTTTAGTTCTGTGGGAACGTAATTTTTAGGAGACAGGGTTGGTTTAACAGTGGTTTAATTGAGTGTGTGGCACATATATCGTCTGCATAGCAATGAAAAGCGATGCCGTGCTTCCTAAGAATGGACCCAAGAGGGAGCAAATACAGGGAGAATAACAGGGGGCCTAACACTGAGCCCTGTGGAACCCCACAAAGGAGAGGAGCAGACGAGGACTCAAGTCCCCAAGGCTGAAGCAGAAAGTCCTACCAGTCAGATACGACCTAACCATTCAAGGGCTTTGCCCCTAATGCCCACCCACTGCTCCAAACGAGCTATCAGGATCTCATGGTTTTATGTTAAATTAAAGGTGGGGTAGGTAATTTCGGAGAAACCAGCTCGAGTGTGCTAGAATTTGAAAATACACAGCCGGAAAAAATCTGCCACTTCCTTACAGAGCCTCTCCTCCAACACACATGAACGCGCACATGACCAATGAGGGCACGAGATAAGATTGTGCACAGATGGAAGGCTGACAGGCAGGTAGGCCATCCAGTTATTTTAGCCGGGCCGGCTAAAATGATTGGTCGTGCTTTTTACAGTACTATGGCCACAGATGACATTTCTTTATGGATTTTTTGTCAAAGCACTTAAGATATTCATTGCTATCGGGATGTTAAGAGCATTCCATGGAATATAACAAAAAGTGTATCTCGAGCCGGTTTCTCAAACTTACCTACCCCACCTTTAACATTAAAATAACTAAATAATGCAAAGTTATAATAATAAAACAATGTTCTATGAAACAATAAATAATCCAACATAATTAAAAAACAACACATACAAAGTCATATTACAAATTATACCTTGTATCTTTTCAACTGAACCAAATAGGTAAAACTAATGATAATAAAAAAATGAAGAAAAAACTAATTAAACATTTATTAAAACAATAGAATAATCATTAATAAAGAAATAATAACAAAACATCATGGTAAACAAAAAAGAAAAAAGGGTTGATTGCAATTCAAATTAACATTAAATTACTTTAAATGGAAAGTCATAATATTAGAATATTATACTTTTTTAATAAATTATAACCTTTGTTGATATAGAACAAACAGAGTTTAGCACATGGGCATTTAGGAAAGGGATATCATCCTCTCATCCTGCTCTGGACAGTAAACAGCAGAGGAAACCCACAGAGGACAGGCTTAGCATTCTCTTTCTGTCGACACACACACACACACACACACACACACACACACACACACACACACACACACACACACACACACACAGCAGTCATGTTGAGTGAGTCCAGCCAGCCTGGGGGCGTTGTTTGGCCAACATTAAACCGGGCTATCCCTCACTGGACACCACTTGGCTGCTCCTGACCCCGGTCTGCTCGCCGTCTGGCCACAGGCTTGTAGCAGTTGGCAGGCCCGCCGTGACTCTGGCACATGCCCACTCTTGAGTTCATAGCTTTTGACCTGTGTGTTGAGGGGATGTGTTTGGCTCATTCTTACACATATAAACATTAGAGTGTAGCCGAGGGCCAGTTTGGCCCGAGCAGCCGTGTTTAACAGGCTGACAACGGTTGAATTAAAACACCTGATGTTCTCAATCTGTCTGGGAGCCCGTTACAGCCACTGTCCTTCGGCACTCTGGGCACACAGACAGCATGTGGATAGTAACATTAAGTGATGCACTGCACTGAGAAAACACACTGATAGTGCACAAAGGGCTTCATAATCAACTTCATAATTTGGAAAATAGCTACTTTTTTGGTCGGTTTTCCACTTTTAAGCACCAAAGCAACCAGTTTAGCCCTGAGCCTGTTTTTCAGGTCTCAGGCTCGAAAATGACATTCCCAGAACAAATGATCATATCTTCCCTTCAAAAAGGGTTAAATTAATAATCTTTTTTCTCAAAATAATGATAAACCTGTGAGTTGGATGTAGAAAAGTCAGAATCAATATAGATGTGTTTTATGTGATTTGGGTGGAAATGGGGGTTTTACCGTTTCTCTGGAACCCATTGGTCGATTTTGGTGATTGACATATATTTTTGACCGTTAGAGCCAATATAATCGAAGGGGAATCACCCCACTCACACACAGTCTAAAACAAAAGGTGTGGGCTTCGTGCACACAGTTTTGCACCAGAGTGAAGCTGTCTCTAGGTCTGACTTCTAGAAACGGAAACGCAGGTTTATTAGTTATGGATTATCAGAAATAATTTCTAAGGGACACATACACATTGGATTAACCTATGGATTAACTTCAGCAGCGTTTTTATCGTTTTAATCCCATTGAAGACCACTTTTGACCAGACTACGACACAGGTGAGCCATGTTAGCGTTTTTAGCTACCTAGCACCATATGTGTTGATGTCTGTTCTTGTTATTATCTCTGCGAGTTCGTATAATTGAGTGATAATGAGGGTACCCTTCGATTCTGTGTCACCTCACGATGTGAAACGATGGTTTGAGATGTGCAGCAAAGATAAATAATAAGGTTTTGTGAGTGAATTTCGGTGCAGTCATCTGTTAGCATTTTTCGCTCGTTGCTAATTCAGAGGCTCAGAGTTAGCATTGTGGGGGGTTTTTTGAAAAAAAAATTAAAATGATCAATTAGATGAGTTTCTTCCCGTTACATGGATATAAAACATTCATAGTTTATTAAATGAACATGCCCTCAGACACTGTTTCCTGCAAGATGTTGCGGCAGTGCCCCGGTACCGGGGTCTCTCGTGCTTAACAGGTTAAAGGGCAAGACAAAGGGAGCTTTTGGAAAACAATGAGCCTACAGAAAACAAATTCCTGTTGCGTCATAACTTCTGTGATACCTCTTTTTCTTTTTTTTCTTTTCTACTTAATTGACCACACAGGATACACTATGTCAGGCAGGCTGTGTCTTACATTTTCACCGGATGTCGGGTCCAGTGCCCAGTTTTCCCGTACAAGAACGGAAAAGGTAACATTTAAATAGATATTTATTCGAATATATATCTCTGTCATTTCAGTTTGGAGGCCTTCACAAGAGCAACCTAGTGTTGACATATGTTGAAACACATAAATGGTTTAATGTACACATTAAAACTAGCTTATTGTCATCAAGGAGATTACAAATAGAGTGGTGCAGACAATATTCAGAACCCAACACATGACACAACACACACACGTCCTCATTCACAGATGAGACTATTTGACGTGATCGAAAATAACTTGAGTAACTTCTTAATGTCATATGGACATTGATGCATAAAAATAAGCATAAAAGTTAGAATTGGCTCTGTCGACATTGGACAAAAGCTAGAGATCCCGGAAGTGCTGGCCAATAGAAGCGAAGGTGTTACTTATTGATGCCATTATGTTAAGACAGTATATACAAAGAGTCCAATCGAGGCGTTTCAGGCAGGGGAACTTTGGGATTTTAGCATTTTTAGACATTAAATTGTGGTCAAAAGCATTTGAATGAGCCAAACAGGAATAGGAATTGGCAGTTATTTGAGCAGGCGAAATAGGAAATATTCAAAACATTGAACAATTCTTAGAAATTACCTTGATAGAATTCTTATTTTTCATACATACACACACAAACCCACACAGGTCCAATAATGCTCCAACCTGCATTTGGCCGTTCTTTCTTCATTATTGTGATGATTTACCAAAATAAAAGTATAGTGACAGCTCAAACAGATGACAAATTACCGCCAGAGGGGTGGAAACAGAGTAGTGAATCTTTACTATGGATAACAAACTTTGAATGTCAGAAAGCATGACGGCCACTGGTTCAGAGAGACAGATAGAGCCAGGCACAGTTGGCATGGATCCTTACCTGGGTGAGAGTGGTTGGCACTCCTCCAGTCAGCATGCTCCCCGTCAGCCATCTCTCCTCCCAGCCCTCCGCCCAGGCTCAATGCCCCACTTCCACTCACACTGGGGAAGTACATAGAGAGACAAGAGACGATAACCAGTCACTAATCAGGTAGTCAACAGATCAAACAAAGAAGAGGAAGGCCCTGTGTCCACATAGCGTCTTTTTATTTTGTTTCATGACAGTACAAGTACAACACTCACCAAGAAACAACATTCAGTGTCCGCCAGGCGAATCATTCCAACAAATGGGCTTTTCTGTCTTTGTTTTGATAGTTTCCTGTCCTCCAATTTCTACAGTGACGTCACCAGCACTTTTTGGGAAATGTTTTCAACTTGAAGCGCTATAGTATTAGTAGACGAAACTGGAATTGTATGCACAGATTTGACAACTTATTAATATTTTGCACTAAGCTGATTCATCTGGTTTTCTGCCTGAGAGAAAGTAATGTGCATGCACTCGGCGACAATTTCAAGCAAAATGACCATAAAACCACCAGATTTGATTTCTAAGAAGGCTATGATCTTTCAAATGGTGTATAATTGTGCATCTCCTATTTTATTTCTTATTAGAGTAAAAAAGTGGTATCATTAGTGATACAATGTACAGCCTTTTTAGTCTTGGTAACAGCATTGTTTAGGTATATTGCCTAAAACGATTTGTTACCAAACTTTCTTTTATTATTTAGAGAGTTGAATAGTGGGGGAAATCCCAACAGACAAAATCCACTTTAATAAAATATGTTTAATCAAAGAAAATATAAAAAGAGGGAATATTGACATTAAGGGGATTCAAATGTACTACATTGTTGTTTTATTCCGATCAGTACATTTTTATTCAGAGCAAAATGTGACAATATGCTACCATTTTCACAAAAAGACACATAAACAAATGGATCATATTGTGTTAAAGCTAAGAAGAGAGGGATGGAGAGAGGAAGGAAGAAGAACAGAGGGGAAAGAGGAAAAGCAGAGGGGGATAGAGATGGGGGGGGGAAAGCTCAGGAGGAGGAGCGATGAACTCCCAAAACTAATCTGAGTATAATCAGGGCACTGCCCCAGTGTCCTAACCCCATCCACACACACACACACACACACACACACACACACACACACACACACACACACACACACACACACACACACACACACACACACACACACACACACACACACACACACACACACACACACACACACACACACACACACACACACTAGAACTCTCGCGCCTACCCATAACCCCCACTGTGTGGGCGGTGGTGTTCCCCTGACCCACTTAACACATCTGGGTCAGCTGTATTCAACCACAGCTCAAACACACAAGCCAGGTACATTAAGATAAATGAACACACACACACACTTGGGTACAGATGAGTTTGTATCCACTACTCATGTGAACATGTAAAAAAAGATGGCTTTCATTACACTTGTCATGGTGGAGCAGAGCAGGTTGGACCCAAATGCAGGATGGACAATGGTTTTAACAGAAAAAACACATTTATTCAAAAACAAAAACAGCAAACAGACCAGAGGCCTGTACTACGAAGCTGGTTCAACATACAGTAACCTGGATATGTTTGAGTTAGCCGGTTGGCCTAATCCAAAACATACGCGCTCTCGCTAAGCGGTAATACGACGCTGGTTATCAAGTGGATCGCTCAAGCCAGCCGTGCCCTATCTAGTTAGGTGCGCGTTCACATGAAAGGGGTGGTATTTGTAGCATTCGACCAATCACAAACATGGAGAAGCGCACTGACAGTGCAGCGTCATACTTCCTGAATGAAAAGTGAACTTTAATACTAGTCAAAAATGAAGAAGTTAAACTTTAAACATCCATGACTTAAACACTTTATCCAGGATAAAAGCCGCATAGCTGCACCTGCAAGGTGAATACAGCTGGCAAAAGAAAAAGTGTTTGAATGCGTACATTAACAGGTTTATGATATCACTGCCCCGTCCAAGACACGATCTGACTTTAATTACATTTGACTTGAGTGTTTCGTCAACTTAATGTGTTGCTTAAAATAATATGTCTGCATACAGTATGTGACACTGTGAGTGTCGCACGGCCAGATACGGCTCAGCTGACTCAGATAAGGAAATATATGATACATTATGATGTGATATGAATGATAATGGGACACATCGACGTCTGCACTCACAGTGCTGCGGACTGTACGTAATGTTACTTTTATCCGGTTACTTATGTTGTAGCAGTTATTTAATTAAGCTTTCTTAACGCTAATGTTATATTGGTCAGATTGCTCTGAAGATGGTGAGAAGAGGTGATATTCTATTAATGTTCACGTTCACACAATCAGTGATTTTTGACGGCCGTCTTTCCTGCAACGGAGGTTTAAACAAAAGATGTCCTTTCTCCTGTAATATGACTTAATCGCTTTAAACTCCGCACACTGAGCTCTGATTGGTCAGCAGGCAGTGCTTTCACTGAGTTGATCTCTTAGCCTGCAACCTAACCTGGTCCCAACCAGGTTAGCCGCACAGCATAAGTTGCCATGGAGATCTAGCCCGCTAAAAAGAGAACCAGCGTCGTAGGACCGGAAAGCCCGAGTTTTCCCTGAAGTTAGCCGCTAAGCGAAAATCCTGCTTCGTAGTAGCCTACAGGCCTCTGAACTCCCCCATGTGTAAAATCAAAGGTCCAACAAACGCCAACAGAAAACCAGAACTTAAATACATGAAAGACTAATCACGAAGACAGAGCTGGGGAGTAAAGACAAATACAAGGTTACCAAGTAACCAAACAGGAGGGAAAACACAGAGACAGGAAATAAAAACAGACATCAAACTGGGAGTGAACACTTCACGAGAAAAAACTGGAAAACACAGACAGATCGTGACACTTCAAAATAAAACAGGAAAACAGACCATGACAAAAGCATTACAACTGTGACACATAGGTGCTGTTATGTGATGCTCATCCGAATGGTTTGACATCCAGGGTTCAGCATTGAGTTTTCTGAGCATCAGACTCTTTTAAAAGCCCAGTTCCAGTAGGAGCAGGGGCCGTATACACTTCACCGTATGTAGAAAGCATTGCAGACAGACATCTTGGAGAGCCAAAAGGTTGTCTTGCGAGTCGTAGCGCTGGATGTAAACGAGCAGTTTTTTTGGCGCGGAGGGACCGAGGCAGGAAGCGAGAAAAGGGCACATGAAGAGATCGGTTAGGCTTCTTAAACGCAGGGGTAGTACTGCCTGTATCGCTTCCAAAAATAAAAAAGGGAAGAAAAAAAAACAACTTTTGAAGTGTGTTTGTGTTTGAGGCGAGGGAGCAAAGGTGTGTTTTTGCGTTTGAGGCAAAAGCCAAGCAGGAGAATCTTCAGTTTGTGTGTGTGTGTGTGTGTGTGTGTGTGTGTGTGTGTGTGTGTGTGTGTGTGTGTGTGTGTGTGTGTGTGTGTGTGTGTGTGTGGTGTGTGTGTGTGTGTGTGTGTGTGTGTGTGTGTGTGTGTTGTGTGTTGGGTGTGTGTGTGTTGTGTGTGTGTGTGTGTGTGTGTGTGTGTATGGTGTGTGTGTGTGTGTGTGTGTGTGTGTGTGTGTGTGTGTGTGTGTGTGTGTGTGTGTGTGTGTGTGGAAGTCCCTCTTGCCAGTTTTAAAAAACATCCGTAGCCCAGGTAAATGGCACGCTGTCCTCTGCACATGCCCGGTGGCTTTTTCTTTCTCTTCACAGGGAGGAGTTCAGAGGGCCAGTTAGCACCATTCACAGTGAACCCCGAGGCTTCACTCACTCTCTCACACACACACACACACTGAAATGCATGCACAAAGATTTCTTTGAGCACGCACACAAGGCCACAAACACATTCACACATGCTCAGAGGCTCTCCTAAATTCATGCAGAGGCAGCACTTGTACATGCAAACACACACACATACGTGCGCACACACACACAGTTGGCCCGTGGCTAGAGTGTTCAAACAGGCGTGATATTGAAATCCAGCAGTCGGGAGAACAGTGGGTTTTGCTGAGGTCCATAGCAGGTTATTGATCAAGGTTAGTTTACTGTGAAAACTCTGCCTGTGGCCAAGGGCCATTCACACCAGAGGTACGTGTGTGTGTGTGTGTGTGTGTGTGTGTGTGTGTGTGTGTGTGTGTGTGTGTGTGTGTGTGTGTGTGTGTGTGTGTGTGTGTGTGTGTGTGTGTGTGTGTGTGTGTATGTGTGTGTGTGTGTGTGTGTGTGTGTGTGTGTGATCTTTGTTTACCACAGACACAGGACTGCAGATGTCAGTGTGAGTAAGTGTGTAGGTGTATGTGTGTGTATTTTTGCACGTATTGAAAGTTTATGAATAGACAACAGTGCTGTATGTACAGTGTTTCAGTACATGTGTTTATATCAGCGTATGCACTCCTTCTTGAAATAAGGTATTAAAAAGTAAAAATTAAACAATAGGGTCAGGTGTATAACTCCATCAGTGTTCATCAGTGGTCGGCACTTGAGTAATTCTGTGTGAAAGCAGGAACGAAGGGAAAGGGCGGTCTGTGTGAAGTGGTGGCTATTCTGGACTTGGCCAAAATATGTTAATGGTCCCATGTCATGCTTTTCCGGTTATTACCCGTCCCCTTGTGTGTCATGAAGGTTTTTATGCATGGAAACGGTCTGCAGAGTCACAAACCCTCAAAGTACACCCTGTAGGGAGTAAAACTCTAACACAGAAAATACCTGTCTATGCTGCCCCAGAACGCCTCGTTGGAGATTTCTCTTTTTCTTCCTGGGTACAGTGACGTGCCCATACCTAAATGGACCCATTGTTTTGACTTTTGGTCAGACCCACCAATCCCCCCCACCCCCACACAAATGCACGTGTGGCCCTAATCCTCTTCTGTACCTTTTCAACAAAGGCTTTTCTTTAAAAAAATGTTGAGCAGTAGCTGGCTACTAGCAATAGCTAACACAACAGTTAGCTTGTTGTAGCAGCCCTGAAGGACTATTAAGCTAACAGCGAGAATGGATGTGGTCTGGGGGACAGGGCGGATCGCCGCTGGGATGCCAGAGCTTTTTGGAAGCTCAATTCTGGCTGGCGCACACAGAAACATCCTGTATCTTCAACGATATTATAGAACAATTGTATACATTATTTAATATGAATAAGTCTCTTTGGAGTGTTTGTGATACTGAATGTGGGAACCCACTAGGCCCCAACATGGCAGAAAATATCTATAGGACGAATATAACAAATGTTTCAAATATGATTAGGCTTGTAATAATGTATTCAGAATGTTATAACAGTCTCAGGGAGGTGCTGTAAGTCCACAGTTCAGATGTGAGCTTTATAAGCAGAGAAGTTCACTGGTGGTGTGAGACTGCTCACTTTTCATGTTCTGTAGAACAAAAAAAAACTTTGCTGCAACACAGATAATCTCTCTGACACATAGAGAAACACACACATCGACCCTCACACACACACTCAACGTTTCTCTAGCGCTAACTAAAGCAGATGTGTGAAATGTGTCTGTTTATCTATTCAGGGTCGGAGGCCTGGCATCAAACTACCTTTATATGGAAATTCAACTCAAACACCAACTCACACCAAGAGACACATCCATATACAAGTGTGTGGAACAGGAGGGGGAGTCCAGCATGATCTCACAAGTCCTTTTGAGTCCATTGACACACACAACCTCATACATACACATGCATAGTTTTCACAGGAAGGCATATGCCGCCTGCTTTTGTCTTTGTACAGTGCCAGAGAAGTCAAAGCAACAAAAGTTTGACCTCTTCCTTCTCTCTCTCTCTTTTTACTTCATCTCCTCATACTTTCTCTTCCTAACACCTTCTTGCCCATCCATTATTTCAGTGAAAGTCATAAGGCAGTTCAGCCATGTATTCTTCTTCTTCACTACATGCATATATTTTAGTGTATAGGCCAGCAACTGTGATGCTAGCAGCACTGATCACAAACTCGCCTGCATACTTTGCATAAACCTGGAGGATAATGATATCAGAAAAGCAGTATATTTTCTTTGAGAACTTTTAATTTAGCTGTAAAAATGCTGCTGACGTGGCTCGATACCCCAATATGTATTTACTTAAACAACAACAAAATTAACATTGTTTGCTGTGATTTAATTGTACTGCACGTTGCATAATGATGCTGAAATAACAAGAAACTCATACCGATTAGTAAATGAAATTTGCAAGTGTTTCCGCAAGAAATTAGGCAAAAAACGTCAACTTAAAATGTGTGGTTTTTTAATAGAGATCGGATCGCCCATGTGAAAAATTAGCTTGTGAATCACAATAGATTTAGCATAGATTTTGAAGTCCCTGTTTCCACAGAAATGGCACATAGTAAAGGAGATGTTTAGCTTAATGATTTCCAATTTGGGTAAACTCTTTTCTGCAACTCTAACTCCCTGGCTGCAACTTAGTTTCATGCTTCCTTTGCGTTATAAAAAGAACTGAAAAGCTCAAAACACTTCGAGTTCAAATCTTGAAGTGAACAAGATATTAAAAACTTACCAAAAAATAGGGGATCCGTTGCTACATCTGGAGATGAACTCTCGACTCTTGTCCATTCTTGTAGCATGTCTTGTTTTCCAGTGGTTAACAGGCGGACAGTGATGTACAGTAGCAGCAGCAACCCTAAAAGGCAGAGGGAAAAAAATCAACACAAGGTTCAACTGCAGAAATCATCAATATACAGGTTCAATGCCTAATCAGTACAATCACTTAACCCAAATTGTGCTATAAAAAAAAGTCTTCAAACTAGAGCCTATGGTCAACCAAGGATAAATAAATATATGATTTCTTCATTATTCTTCAATACGTAAGTTGACCACTGGGCCAATTCCCCCAAACCTTGGTACATTTAATTAACCCTAAAACCATTCATCATCCAGCAAACTATTGTACTTGTGTAAATGACGAAGAGCAGAAATATGGTCACTTTGCAGGAATGCCCTCTCTCTGAAGGTCTTAAATCGGAGGAAAGGATTGCATGAACAAACAGACACATTCACACATGCAATTCCTCCATCCCCTCTCCTCCCCCCTCCTCTGTCCGGTCAGTGTAATGGATGGTGAATCCGTTGCTTAGTCATGCATACAGCTGACAAATTGTCCCTCTCCGAGCACGGCCCCGCCGCCGTGTGATTTGTGAAAGACGGCTCAGATTGAAAAAGGGCACTGAGGATACAGGCAAACTAGTCTGAAAAGGTGCATTTGAAGAAAATTATATATCTGAGAGCTTGAAGGCCGCCAGGGTGTGGATGGGCTGCTCCTGTGTGTGAGTGTGTGTACGTCTGAGTAAGATTGGAAATATGTGAGACGTGTTTCAGCAATGACCTTGCTGTGTCGTGGACAATGAGAATTTTGCTCTAGTATATGTTTATGGTGGTAAATCTGAATTTATTTGACTGCTTTAACTATGAGATAGCCCGAGTAGTGTGGACCAATCCCCATTTAAAGCGTATAACATGACTACAATTCAGTCTGCCGTCCCTGTTTTTAGTAACATATAACCTACATACTACTGACTACTTAATGGACTACCCATTATTCCCTTTTATTATAATATAGTATTCTTACTGGCAGATTCTGCTTCACTGGAGTTAAGTGTGTTGAGTGAATTGATTTGTCTTAAAAACTACATTGCTACAATATTAAATGGCTACCAAATTGAGGCTTTTAAGAGCGCTATGATTTAACTGATTTCCCCATTTTAGCTGATTCTTAACCCATAATAATATATAATATATATAATGTTGTTATGTATGTTTTTTATCAAGTTAATAGTAGTATTAATAGTTTTGAGCTTCTATTAATTATTTATGTCCTGTACGGCTGTAGGGCTTATTTACAGTATGGTGTCATGATCCCATTAGTTTATCTGTTTCCTGTTTTATTTGGAAGTTTCCTCAATCTGTGTCATGTCTGTTTTTACTTCCTGTCTTTGTTTGTTTTCCCGCCTGTTTAGATTGTCTGTCCTGGCCTTATTAGTTACACCTGTTTCCCATCAGCCCTGCAACTATGAAGGTAGATATGGTGCAAAATGCGAGAGCTTGTAAAACCCGATGAGCTTGTGTGCATACATTAACACTTGTATAAAATATCCACGTATATGTGAACCAAATGTAAAGTCACAGAAGAAGAAAAACGTTTTGTAGCTTGTAGGAAAAAAATGAACTTAGTGATGAAATGTTCACTTGCAGAAAAATATATAGATATTTTTAAAATATATTTTCCATTACAACTGCAACTTGGTTATTACAACCTCTCAAATCAGTCATTACAACTTCACGAATCTGCTCTGTGGCAGTATAATTCGACGAATCTGCGGCCTTGACTTTTGCTACACTTCTTGCGTTTTGTTTTAAAACCATTTATAATTTAGAAATTGTTGGCACAAAATAACGGGTTGCGTTCCTGGTCATTTTTCAAAAATAATATCTGAACACATTAAAGCTGGAAATGTGTCATGATTTACTCGATTCATTGGGATAGCTAGCTTTGTGTTTGGCAAACTGGGAACTTCAGAGACTGTTGACCCAAAAAGAACAACAGCATAATTACCGCTGGTGCAAAGTCAGAAAGTGTTGTAAAGGCCCAGACACACCAAACTGACACCAAAGAACACGTCCCGACGGACCCGATTGTTTTGTCGCCTCACGTCTCCTGCGTCTTGGCCAACAGTCACACTGGAACACACCGCAAAGACTTCAGCCGACGGCCAAGAAGCACATACGAACTGCGCATGCGTGAATGGCAATAACTCTCCTTACCAGCAGGCGGCGGTAGTGTGTATTCGTCATTCAAAATAGGCAACAACCGGAAGACAGACTGCGTGATAACCGAGAGAAGAGGAACAGGCTGCGTGATATAAACAAACAACTAATAGCGTGTGCGTTCCATTTTCACTCTACAGCGAGAAGCTCATGGGGCTTTCCCGAACCTGTGTCGAGAGCTGGAGTTAATGAAGTCTCAGATTTGCCTTCTTAATAGTTTGTTTGGGTCGCTCACTTCCGTTTCGCTTCTCGTGCACTGATTCGCTAGCTGAACAGCAAATCAGAGTGATTTATTTAGCCGACGGCGGCGGAAGGCGGCGGCGGCAGGTGTCGGCACGGCCGAAAAGACACGACGGTGCAGGACACACCAATCTGAGTAGGGCGACAGGATGCTCATCGACGGCCAGACATCTATCGACATCTATCGACGCTGAAAATCCATGTAAGTAAAAAGTTGGGGGGGAGGTATTGGTCAAAAAAACATCAGACTTTAAACTTACTCTTTCCGAGCAATCAACTAAGTGTTTTTAACAAAGCTAAAAATGTATGCACATTTCACATTTTGACGAAAAGAGCGATGTGCCCAGAGGTTTGTGTTCCACCCATAGTATTGAGGAGGTTTTTGTAATTGACATACAATGTAAAACTAAGTAATACATTGTTATTTGTCTATATTTGCTACACGTACAACTATACAAGTGTCGAAAAAAAGCCACTGTTTTAACCACATTTTATCAGGTTAATTGAGCTAATGCTATGCCATAGCCGCGGGAAGTCATTTTGCTCAGGGGGTGCTGCCAAAAGTGGGGAGGGAGCCGCTTACATTTTTTTTTAAAAGGCGGTGCCGGGCCCGAGCCGCATAAATTGTTTGTTAAAGGCGAGACACCGCAGGCAAAAACATCGTTTTTCATGCACTGGTCAATTTTGAGATGTTGTGCTATTTTGATTCCATAACATGTTTTCTTTCAGGCTTTTAGAAGGAAAACGTACAAAATACACATTTAAGTGTTAATTTTACTATAGTTTGTCTATTTGCATCTGTATATTTCTCCTAAATTCACCAAAAGTTAGCATTCTAACGTAACATAAAGTACCGCGACTGCTGATTGCACAATGTCATCGTTGGAAAAGCTCCGTCTCTCCTGCACAATCTCATCGGATCCAAATATGGTCATTTCCTTTGTATCGGCAACCAATCGTGAAAGCACAAAAGGGTCTTAAACCAAGAAACGAAATCTCATTGGCTGGTGTCAATTTCTGACAACGTGATTCGTTCAGATGCGTCGCGTGGTGTGCTAAAACACTTCCTGGTTAGCTTTCCGCTAGAAATTGAAACTCAAAATGGCAAAAGAACGGCGAAAAAACGTTCACAGAGAAGACAACAACAATTGTCACTTGCATGAAGCAAGGTTATACAAAAAACAAATGACCCCGAACATGAAATACCTTCACGGAGTGCGTCGAGGCGCAAGCTGTCATCCAAAGAACAGGAGGGTTTAGCTAGCGCTTCACTGCAATCTTTAAAGGTCATTTTCTCAAAATGAGTTTTTTCTCCTACTCTGAGTCCGAAATGTCCACTTCAGTTGCACTTACATACACCAAACCTTCCAGTTATATTCCTATCAATATTATGAAGGTTTTTACAGAAGGGTTTGTTCATATATCATTCATAGCCTGAATTATATAAGATTTTATACCTAGAAACATGGCGAAAATTGATATTTTAGGGCTGTTGACAGTATTTTCTGATTTATGGAATGATACAAAGAGATATCCAAAATCCCTTCTGTAAAAGCCTTAGATGCTAATATGACTACAAAATGAAACGATAATTTTGAACCTGGCTTTATCCAAAGTTCAGATTTCGGTTCCTGAAATGTGTTAAAATATGCGCAAATGTAATGCGATAATGGAAAATTTGCATATTCAGAAAACTTGTAATATAAGAAACAATTGCCTTATTGTAGGTAATTAACTGGATAAATTACCCTATTCACCTGGGGTGTCTCGCCTTAACTAGGCTTAATAAACCATTATAGACCTACATCACTTAGCAACAGCTGCACATGCCCACATGCTAACTATGGGTCTTACAAACCTACATAACATTACAAATAGTCAGAAAATATTATTTACAATATTAATAAAACTATGAATTCAATTTTAACTGATTGACAAGGCAAAACACTGCACAGCGGCAGCAGCATTAAAGGACAAATATCGTCTTACCTTGTGTTGGGGCTTCACAAAACTCCAAATGTAGCCTGGGGTGGCACTAATGAAGACCCTCATTAGAGCAGATACATCCACATTGTCCAACATGTTACTATGGACATGCATTAAAGTCAGATGTGTCAGTCTCTTCTGTGTCATATTACTCTAGTTGTAGAGGTGGTGGGCTGAGGAGTAGCTGGTGGTCCACTCTTTTTATTGGGTTGTTTGTTGGAGAAAAAAAATCCAAAATCCTTTTTTGCGCCATTCTAATAATATAATAATAATAAAGTAACAAAACAAAAAGTAATAATAATCATACAGATACATAGGCTGAAGAAAACAAATTCTAGAAAGTTGTCACTCTGCAGTGTGTGTGTCGCGTCAATTACGTCACTCTCCCACGACCTACGACCTAGATGACTCGGATTTTATTTGGAAAATCAATTCAAGCCACCTGATATATACAAATATATACTATGACTATTATATGCTACTGTATACAGCTAATTTTATTTTAAGTAAAATCATAACTATTTTATGCAGTTTAATCATTTTTATTTAGGTGGTAACTCAGTTTTTCAAATGTACACCACTCGCCAACAGGGGGTGCTGCAGCACCCCCTGCACCCCTACTTCCCGCGGCTA